GTGGATGAATTTGAGTCGAGGACAACTCAAAAGCAAGAAGAGGATGATGAGGGCATCCCTTGCATTGATACAACAAAGCCTATTGGACAGCAAAGATCAATGACACAAGCTCGAGCACAACTCAATTATCAGGTTAACTCGATCCTCGCTGTCCATACAAACTCTTCTATGAATGGGGTCCTACTAAATCATTGTGGTCATTTCCTCGTTCTTAGAAATGTTGGTCAAGACCCCATTCGCTCATGTTCAGACCCAATGATGAGGATGGAGCAACCAAACAAGTGAAAATCATCATTAATAGGGCGCTCAGCTCATCTCTAAACAGCATAAATCACTCCATCAAAAATACCATAACTCATTGATACGAGATCCAATGAAGCTGGTTTTTAACTTATTGGAAAGAGCCAATCGTCCTCTTTCATGTGGGTCCAACCCCACTATCAGACTCTACATAAGCTATGCCTAGCAAGCAAAAGGACGCACATGGGCCTTGTATTCACTAGAGCCCACTAAAGGACACATTGATTAGGGTTTCCCATGCCCCCTTGTGCTCTCCTACCTATAAATAGAACCAACAGTCACTAGAATAAGGTTGGATTTTGTTTAGATACAAGATAGCCTAGACCACCCGATTTGCTTGTGATTTAGATTCAGCCTTTGGCTTAAATCCCTGAGTTATTTGCTTGTTCATCTTGTTCTTGCTTGTTCTCTATTGCTAGTAGGTTCATGGTGTTCTTGGCATGACTAGAACATCACAAGCGGGCTGGTGTACCAGTTGCTAAGGCACAACAACCTTGTGGTCCACACTCATCAAAAGATCAGGGACAGCCCCTTGTCGTATCATCAGAAACCTGACAAGTAATCGACACATGATGTAACAGAATGAAAAGATAATTACGCAAGTTGTTTCCTGTAGGGTAACTGCTGCCTGCAGATAAAGCATAACGTGGCCTTTAGTGGTCACTACTGCTTGGTACATGGGATGCGCCAAACGACCTGGGGCACTATGTATATGCAGCTAACCCTCAACTCTAAACCAAGACGATGCGGCAAGGAGCTAGAGATGTAGCAATACCCTATCCCCCCACAGCATGCTACGACGGCTTCAACTTTTCTAGTTGCAACATATGCAAACTAAAACTGTCCCTAGTAGACGGCAGCAATGTTGCTAGTTTATTTCCTCAAACTTTGCGGCCTTTCCTGGCAGCATTCAGTTGCTCCAGCAAGTCCTGTATGGTGGAAGATGCGTCCTGCCAAAGAGGGAATAAGTTGCACGAAAATGTTCAGAAGTGCAAGAAACAAAAGTTCATGCTGTGCTGCGACTTTCAATCAGTCACAGTTTGTTCACTCACCTTCAGCTTCTTCCTCAGGCTCTCCTCTTCTTGATCTCGTCGGTTCCTCTCTTCTGAGAAGATGTCGATCAACGCTTCTTGTTCCTTGGTTGCAGACTCAAGTTGTCTCTGCAGATCCTCCAGCTGAAAAATAGGAGGGTGACGAGCAACATATATTATCCCAAGAGCACAACGTATCCTTATAGAGCAAAGACAGGCATATGATAAATAAGATAGCTCATAGCATGAATTAGGATAATAAATATAAAATATCAATGGCCTTACTGACCAAACACAATAAAAAATGAATCCATATGGTGGATGGGGAAACTAAGGTTACCAAGCACATTGTGTCAGGCATATAAACATAGAATTTAATGGTAAAACATTTCAACCCACTAACAAGTGACAATACAGTGGGCAGCCTCATCTTTTTAGGCCAAGCAACAATATTTGTTAGTAAAACAGTAGGCAGAAAAGACAGAAATGCATACCCTCTCTGTCAAAGACTTATTCTTGTCACGCTCCACCACTAGCTCTTGCAACATCGATTCTTCCACCTTTGATAATCTGAGAAAAGAACATTATGAAGAAGGCACCTTACTGCAATCTTGAGACAAATTGGAGTACCATTATACATTGCAGGCATGCTCAACGTCAAGTTCCTCATCCAAGGAAACTTTGATAATTTGAGAAAAAGATCATTATGAATGCGGAACGATGCCTGTTCCTCATCCTGGGAATGTCAGTCCCATTCCAGATGCGTGAGAACAATCCCGTTGCCACCTTGTCGAAACATTTCTAAAAGTAGCCCCATCAACCCAGGAACTTTGACTGCAAGCATGCGGGTTTGGTAGTTCTAGCAACCAAATTGTCATATTCAAATGGAGTGGAGTAGCTAGACCTTGATGGTCAAAGTAAAATGAATTTAGTATTTATATAGCATATATAAAGTACAGATGATCCCTACATTGTTTTGCGCAATTTCATATTCATATCAAGTGAAACATAAGGAATTTTTAAAAGTGACGTAATTTTCAAATAGCCCTTGTGGGGAAAACTATATAACCTCAAGAGGTGAAAATCCACTAAAACCCACCCATATGCAGGACAGGCCACACAGAAGCATTGCAAATCACACAGGCTTTCCTCTCTTTGCATGATAGCATTAACATGGATTTGCAATATCCATTTCCTTTTAATATGAAAAGATTCCAATTTCTTAATTATCCAAACAATACTTGGATGGAAACCTAAGGTTTTCCTTCAAAAGCCATTTAAGTGTCTCGTTGAAAGCACATTCATCTCTTAACTATAAGATCAAAAGACGAGAAATCTAATACAAGTCCATTGTCAGTTTTAAGATGTGGCTTGTGGGTCATCATAATCCCTTATTCATGACTCTTGGTTACCATAGACCATTTGAAATATGGAAGCATTGTAATGATACGATGCTTGTGTGTTCAAAGGAGCTCCTCCAAATGTCCAATTGGTTCTACAAGCTGTGGCTAATGAGTGCTTTGTGGTGCATGGCTGAGCCTCTGCTCTTAGTGAGATGTTTCTTCAGCTGCTAAGCACACAGACTTGATGTGTGCTGTTTTAGTGTGATGGGATGTTCTTTCCTTTTAGTTTTTATTGTTTTTTAAGTGTAGGGTGCTGGAGTTAGTTTTTTTTCTCCCCTCTCCGTTTTTCTTTCTTAATGAAATGACACACAGCTCTCCTGTGTTGTTCGAGGAAAAAAAAATGACTCTTGGTACCACAGCCCATTTGAATAAGGAATCCCTTAACACAAACTTGTTGCTACATTTTAAGTCATTCTCTCAACAGTTGCACAACGTGAAGTATGGAAAGAAAGTGACAATGTGATCAATCGAAAGCTTTGTTAAATCTCATCAAATATCATCGACATATAGTAAATGTTGGTTGCCCAACGGTAACAAGAAAATTGGAAGCTGAATCCCGCTGATATTTACCTTTCCTTTAGTGATAAATTTTCATCCCTTAACTGCTTGATAACAGACTCATACTCATCGATAGTATGCAGATCTCCGTTACTTGTTGCTTCTGGGTCCTGGGCAGTAAATATCAGACAGATAAAATTATGAAACCTTGATATGAGATTTAGTAATTATAAGTAGGAAAGTAGCGATGAGACATGCACAAGTTGATGCTCTGAGATGAATTTTAGAGTTAAATGCACCAGAGGTCCATTAACTTATGTGGGGGTTTCAGTTAGGTCCGTCAACTCTAAGGAACACAGGAATTTCACAGGAAAAACAAGAGCACGAATTATTTTCCGTGTTCCAAACAAGCCCTAAAAGAAGTTGATTTTCGGGTCCATAAACTTTTTAAGTGGTTTACCGCAAGTGCATACACATTCTTTTTTGGCCCTTAATTAAACTTTTGGGTCCATAAACTTTTTAGGCCTTGGTTGAATGCGCATGCATTCATCTCAATCCACCTGTGTTGAAGTAGATTAGAGTGGAATTAAACTAAGTTCCAATCCAACACATGTGGATTTAATTAGATACAAATGCATCCAAACAAGGCCTTATGTGGTTCACCAAAGGTCCATACCCCTCCGTTTGGCCCTTAGATCTGACGTGGCATGTGGAGTCAGCAGCTAGCATGGCATGAAATTTGCCAAGTTCATGCATATCCCATGACCGCGGTGCCCTCCTTTCCGCTCCCTCAAGCCAGTGCTCGCCACCACCATTATCGGCTCCTACTATCACCATTGTTTCTCACCTTGTGCTTCACCTCTGTCCTAGAAACGAGCTATTGAGTCTGTCTCCGCCTCCTCTACCCTTTGCGACCGAGCTCCTACTATCACCGTTGTTCCTCACCTTGTGCTTCACCTCTATCCTTGAAATGAGCACTATTGAGTTTGTCTCTACCTCCTCTACCCTTTGCCCTCGTTGGACACAAAAAAAACCATGTTGGAGCTCCTAGCCCGTCATATTGCAACTGCCATGGTCAAGCCTTGAGCTCGCGTGCGCCGCCGTTCCCATAGGTGTAGGCCATCACTACTTCAACAAGTGCGTGCTTGAGTCCGCCGCAGTCACCTCATCCCCATGCGCACACAATTAGGGCAAGTCTATGTCGGACCCCCACCATTTTTGCCACCGTCTTCTACCTTCTGCCTGTCGTCGACCGCTGGACAAGCACACTCATGGCCAACCCACTGCTGGCCAACAACGGATAGATTAAAACCAACCACGAATTCGCGGGTGAGTGGTGAGGCTCACGGTCCCATCCATTGTAGCCGACGCGTGCTCCCTTGGCCAAATCAACCCTCCCGCCATACGTGTCTCTGTTGATTTTGTTGGCCCTCGATCTCCCTGCACAGGTGAGTAGCAAGCTCACCAACACTCACACAAACTCACACAGCTGTAGGATGAAGAAAGGGTGAGCACAGCACACACACAAGCACTGCACGAGCAAGCACTTGCTGGAATTCTGAATGTGATACAGCTGAACTGCTGCTGGCTGGTGCCTTTACCTTCTATTTATAGCTGATAGAGACTACAAACAGCCCTAGTGGCTTTCCTAGACATTACCTAAGAGAAGACCTTTACTTGGAGTCAAGTCTTCTGCTGAAAACAGCCCTAGTGGCTTTCCTAGAAACTACCTAAGAGAAGATTGACTGCTGTAGCAGTCCTAGGAACTTGCTAGGAAATTACAGCAAGGAATTGACTGACTTGCCAACTTCCTGCTGCAGCAAAACAAACAAGGGCAGCAGCAGATTATCTTACAGATTTGAGGAAGAAAGAAGAGGAAGGAGATGACTCATGGGACATGTGCGCCGCCACGTCTCCAAAGTGCGCCCCTGCAGCCCTATGCCTCACGCCACCGTCCCCTTCGCTCGTGCCACTTGTCGGCGCTTGCTCTCACCACCTTGCGTGCTCAAGGAACGATAAAGGAGAGAGGAGGGGCTAATTGAAAATTTCATGTCATAAAGTTTATGGACCCGGAAGTTCAATCTAAGGGCCAAACGAAGGGGTATGAACCTACGGTGGACCACTTAAAAAGTTTATGGACCCAGAAATCAACTTTTAAAGTTGATGGACCTAACTTAAACCCCTGCATAAGTTAATGCACCTCTGTTGCATTTAACTCTAAATTTTATATCAAGAATGTTATGTAGGAGTACAGGAACATATAAATGGGGAAAACAATCATATCTGCAACCAATTAATTCAAATGGCATATAACCATAGTCACCAGGTTCAGGGTTGAAGTCACATTCCTTGACCACGGGACACCGTCCCGAATCAAGTGTAGGGGATGACAGGGGTCAACGTCCCTGTTTTAACAGGTGCATTGCATGGGCATTCGACGGGACAAGAGAAAGGTTCAGCTAGCGTGACCATGCTTCATCAGCGGAGGTAGACCGTTAATCATGCAGGTAGAGCACAGACAGCAAACCTCATAGGGGGACGCTGGATGATGGACTTCACCAGTAGAGTTAGGATGCCCATGAAGGACCCCATTGACACATGGAGGGAAGATAATGGGAAATCAATTTTGTTTCCCACGGGTGCAGATGCTGCTGGTGGCCACTGTTTTGTTGATGCTTCTATATATATATATAGTCATCTCCACTACTGGAGTGCTTAGCTTCTGAGATCTCCAAGGTTAGTAACAAGAAGATGGCTTGCTGTGGTTGTGCAACATCGACTCGTGAGTCAAGACCGTTTTTTTTTTTTTTTTTGAAAACACGTAAGAGCTGCGTGTTATTTCATTAAGGGAATCGATAAAACAGAAGGGCTAGAACAAACCTTCCCAACTCCACCCCCCCCAACTCACATTAAACAAATAGCTAAAAAGAAATTTGTGCCACGGCAAAAATAACAGCCCGACCAGTGAGTCGAGACTGGTACTCTTGTAAAGCTAGTTAGGGTTATCTTAGTGAGTCAAGGACTGTGTAGGCCAACTTTTGGCAGCAAAGAGCAAAGTTGACCTTTTACTTTCTTTTTCATTTTGCTATTATTACTTGTATATATGCATGCATGTGATCTAATCACGTGACATATCAGCACTCATTGTCATTGCTCAGAGACCAACATCATCGATCTGGATGAATCGGAATCACTTGTAGCGAACTACTTAAGACCAACATTTTGACATCCACAACCCACGTGGGGCTATCCTGCCCTGCAATCCAATTAGCCCTTATTTCTGGTGACTGTGCAATTATGCATGCAACTATATAAGGGATCAATCCAGTATTGACTCCAGTTGGAATTTGATATGTCAGCTCTTCCGTCAGAGAAATGCTACTTTTTGCTCCAGAAATCTTCTATGAAATTGTATGGCATAAATAGTAATAAATAATGTTGTCAGGCAGTCCAGCCATCTATGTGTGATTCAGCAAGAAAAAATATGGGCCACCGCAGATCATAAATTTTACAACTTCATCATGCAGTTTTTATTACCAAACTATAAGAAAACTAGCAGTGCACCCAAACCCAGTCAAAGTAATGCTAAAAGGCAAAGAAAATAGAGTGCATGAACACAAAGCAAAGACATAGAATACAGGATATTATATGGCAAAACGTGGTTAAAAGAATAAAAGACACTCTTTAAGGATGCATAAATCATAATGCTCTAGCACAACATGGTTCAGTTATCATTTGTGAATAAGAAACTAAGCACATAGGGCAGTATAATCCTATATTAGTAGAAGGAAATTACCAATGGCTGGGATTTAGTTCTGACCCTCTCTCTTTCTATTAGTCCACTGGATTGAGGTGTTGTCAAACCAGTACTGCCATTTTGAAACAATTTTTGGTTTCTGTTCACGGTGTGAGATCTTGACCTCGAAAGAGTGCCCATAAACTCAGAATCACTATTATCACTATCAGACAGCCCGTGTAGTATTGACTTGGTAGATCGTTTAGTCCTTGCGGACTTCTCAGCTCTCTGCTGAATACCAAATGATGTGCTTGCCTTACCACCCTTTTTAATATTATTATTCATGTCTTTTGCCTGTGTGTACCCTTTCCCAGAATGATAAGGTGATGGTTGTGCACTTGCTGTGTTTTCAGGAGAGTCTTCTGTCCAAAATAGGAAAGATAATTGTCATACAATTGCTGGTTATTCAAGATATAATAATCACTTAAAGATGTAAAACAAATTCAAAAGAAAATGGTAAAGATGTCATACAAAATTGTATTTCTATAAAGGTTGTTATTGGATTTTTTTTCTCAACACTTTGTCATTGGACTAAGTGTGCAGATAGAGCATGAATAGGAAAAACATTTAATGCAAACTCAAAATGGCAAAGATAATCCATTCAAAGAAGAAAAAAAAATTCTCAAACACTTTGTTATCAGATTTAGTGTGCTGATATAGCATGAACAGAAGGAATATTTAACCCAAACTCAAAAAAAGGCAAAGATTCCATTCAAAGAAAAAAAATATTTCTCATTACATCAGTCCTCAATAGCATACCATAACTTACCTGGGAGTTAAGACCAAGGGTTTGGTTGTTATTTTTTGTTACTTTTTGTTTGTCAAGAATGATTAATGTTGTGCGTTGGTCCTCAAAATTCCATTTTACCTTTCAAATATTCAGCCATGTGGCAGAAACACTTTTAGTGGTATTTCAAAGATACCAAAGATTTAGGCAAATAGCATCTCTATTTCATTCCATTTTTATGTTGCATGGCCCGTTCATTATCTATACCTAATATTAAAGAGGTAAAATTTCTCTCCAATTTTTCGTTCCGCCCATCTCATTCTACTACACATTTCAACCAAATGCGGTTATTTTCTACGCTTCCGAATAAGAGCCATTTATATTTTTCCTATCCCCACCCCACCCCCCCTCGAGTCTAATCCTTTAGACTTTTACTATGTCCACTGCTTCCTTTTTTATTCCGTTCCCTCCGTTATGTCCGCTGGTTCCATTTGTGTTTTTTTCTGTTGCTTCTATACCTAATATTAAAGAGGTAAAATTTCTCTCCAATTTTTCGTTCCACCCATCTCATTCTACTACACATTTCAACCAAATAAGGTTATTTTCTACGCTTCCGAATAAGAGTCCATTTCTATTTTTCCTATCCCCCGAGTCTAATCCTGCTTAGACTTTTATTAAATCCACTACTTCCTTTTTTATTCCATTCCCTCCTTTAAGTCCGCTGCTTCCATTTTTTTCTGTTGCTTCGATTTGTTTTCCTTTTTTTGTCGCCAATTAATTATGTCTGCTGCTTATATTTTTTTTCTAGTTTCATCACATCGTCCTTTTCTTTTCTTCTTTTTCACAAGTATGTCGTTTTTCTCCTTATAAACATCATATCTAAAATAAATTATAGATGTAATACATGTGTTTTGTCTTTTTAACCTTTTATTCTTTCCTAATAAATAAATATTCGCACCCCTAAGTTGTTTGTATAATTTTAATTATGAATAAAACATGTTCTTGTTAGAACCTATATCAGCCAATGGTCCGACTAATCAAACCATGACCTGAAATCTTGAGGAGTTTGTTAATTATCCAATCTAATCCAAGTTGTATGCATATACATATCATCAGTGTAACCCTAGACGAGGGCTGCCATGCGAAAAATCGAGAAGTCTCCATCATAATCATCAACAGACAGACCAATACTTGACACAACGACAACTAACTCATTGCTGACTTTAATCAAAGACTAGAATTGCATATTTTTATGGGTCCTCAAAGAAAATCATGACTCGATATTTAACTCTATCAGCACATATGTAGTATAAAAAAAAAGTTATGATATATTTACGAGTAAACATTTCTATCTTTATGGGTCCTCAAAGTAGTCAATGAACTCGATATTTAACTCTACCCGCACATGGATAGTATAAAAATTAAAGTCATGACATATTTATGAGTGAATATTTTTGTGCCTTATCACAGAAGAAAACAATCTATCAAGATTGTATTTTAATTCAATACAGATTTCATAGAACATTGTCATATTATTGCCAATGTTAACTTATATTATGGAAACCATGGTTATCATAAAATAAATTATATCTTTTAAATTGTCTCATTAACGTTTGATAGATTTTTTGTCTTCCGCTGCAACGCACGGGCATATTTGCTAGTTATATTTTAAAAGGCACGACTTTGAAATTTTAAGTTTGGATCGCTGCTTATTTCGAACCACACCGTTTCAATGATCTGGTACAGCAACTTTTGTCATAAACAGGTAGGTCTGAGGCACTTGTAGATGAATACAACTGCTTGATCAAAAGGACAAAAAAACAAGATATGAAAGTTGAGGAACCAAAAGAGGACAACTGTATTTGCACCAGAAAAAGGAAGAAGGAAGCCAAAGGTTTAGGAGCTAAGACACTTGTCTATTTTTAATCACTCCAAAGAAGTAACGCCAGTCAACAAGTTATAAAGTTCCTAACTAGCAATTAAGTGTGTACATAGTAAGCTAAAATGCTCTCAACAAATCACAGCACAAACAACTGCAGCTTCACCCTATATCTCATAATTACAGCCATTATTTACCTCCATCTCCTGCCTCAGAGTTCCTGCCAGATCGTGGTGCAACATATCCTATTCGATGAGCATTCCCAGACCTATCAGAAAGAAACAGAGGAAAAGGAATGTTGAGAATCAGACTGATACTTCATACAACTGTCTGCCGAAAGATGCCCAAACAAGCAATTATTAAGGACTTTTAGAATTCGCCTGGCACAGAAATTGGCGCCTAATTTTGCCCTCTAGATTGCCATGATCTGGCCAGTAAACAGGCAGTGTCGGGCAACCGAACAGTTGGAATGGATCCAAGGTAGGAATCGTAGGCCCATCCAAATGTGCTATCATTATGCAAAAAAAAAAGACAAATGATCACAAAACGGACCAGTAATCCTTCTGCATTTGAACTAATCGTGCTTCAAGTCTTGCTAGAAGTGTTGTCCGCTCGAAGTCTTGCTTATCATGAGCTGGTTCAATGAAATTTGCCTCAAGTACACCTGCAGTGTAATTGATCATTACTAGACTTTGAGCTCAATAGACAATAAGAAAGACTAAAGAAAAGAAAGCATGGAAAAGGGACTACCTATGACACCACGACCACCACTTCCAGCAGCAGTCCACACTCTCCAGAAAGGCTAAAACACACTTATGTTAACTAATCAGTAAACATCATGCGAAGTAGTACTGAGTATACCAGAAATAGAATACAGGTCAACATTGAGTGAGCAAGGCCAATTTGTTCGAGAAAAAATAAAGCAAGGCCAATCAGTCACTAGTACTATTAAAAGTAAATATTGATTTCCTCTTTACTAAATATATGTCAAATACTCAAATGGCACCCTACTCCACAGCAAAAGGACGACAAAGATGGAACAATCAGTTTATGAAGAAATGGCATATATGCTACCATGAATTCAGTTGGAGGTGGGAGATTATTTGGCTCTTTTAAGGAACTTTTTCCTTATAAAATACTGCCACATGACATTGACAAGTTTGATGGCATAGATGAAAACTGCCTAATACTGATAACAAACCAAGGATATGTTCCACCAGCAATCCAGTATAAGTATCCATTGATATGTCAGAGACATACAAGAAGAGGGTTAAAGCAATAGTTACAGTGGCAGCTGGACTACAAAAATTGCAGCTAAATATGATCACACACAAGAAAATAAATATTATATTGTAAACTTAAAACTACACTAAGGTAGTAAAACAGATATGGCAAAACTATATTAAGATTTCATTTCACAAAGTAATATTTGTATTGTCATATTGTGTCAACTACACAATTATAGTTATTCCGCATGAAATACAACACTTTTAAAAACCGTCAAGCCATCAGGCAATGCAGATTTACTATTAGATATATGTATAGTCTAACACATGTATATCATGTCACTTGTACTCCAAGTTGTATATCAGGCGCTTCTGTACTTTTATATTACGGTGTCGTGGTGTGTGTTGTAATTGGGGTCTCCCCACCTTTTTTCTTCTTAACATAATGAAGCGCAGTTCTCCTGCGTTTTCGAGAAAAAAAAATTGTACTATGACTATATACATGAAAAGTCAACCCCCCTCTCCCTGGATTGGGTGTGAGGTGTTCCATAATTCTCTACATGGTATCAAGAGTCTGGGTCCCCTTCCGGTTCCCTCTGCCCTAGCTTCACTCCCGCGCCGCAAACTCCACGGCTGCGTGGCCACCCACCTCGGGACGCCCCTGCACACGATCTCCTCTCCACCACGCGCGATCTCCTCCGCACGGTGCGTCTCTCTGCTCCGTGCGCGTCCTCTGATGGTATATTACTCACCCGCCTCCCTCCTTCGTCTCACTGTGGACAATGGTCACTCCATTCCTGTTGTAGTCATGGCACTTCCATCCTTCCCACCGCTGACACCTTCTACCTCCACAATGTTCTTGTTGTCCCTACTCTTGTGCGCAGTCTTCTGTCTATTCGTCAATTTACACGTGATAGTAATTGCTCCATGGAATTTGACGCTTTTGGTTTTTCATTCAAGGATCCATGGACGGGACGTGTGATCCTTCGCTGCAATAGCCACGGAGACCTCTACACCATCTCACCAGCTTCACCATCCATCACCGCTAGTTGCAGCCTCTTTGTCTCGTCCACCTTGTGGCATAACCGCTTGGGTCATCCGGGCACCTCCGCCATTGTTTCTCTTAAAAACCTGTCGGTTATCAAGTGTAATAAAGCAGCATGATCCTTGTGTCATGCCTACGAGCTTGGCAAACACACATGTCTGCCTTTTTGCTAGTTCAGTGTCCACTATGTCAACCATTTGCATTAGTTCATTGTGATGTATGGACCTCTCCAGTCCTTAGTACTTTGGGTTACAAATATTATTTGGTCATGCCTGATGATTTCAGTCATTTTTACTGGTCTTTTCCGCTGCCTCAAAAATTCGAAGTCTATGGTCGTTTTGTTGATTTCGTTGCATATGCTCAGACTCAGTTTGGTTCTATACCTAAGTGCTTTCAGGTTGACAATGGCAATGAGATTCTTAATCAAGCCATGTATACCTTCTTGTAGAGTCGCGATATCCTGCTTCGCCTCTCTGGCCCCTACACTTCTCCACAAAATGGCAAAGCCGAACGTATGATCCAAACCATCAACAATACCATGCCGACTATATGGACAGCCAGGGTCGACTAGGCTTGACTAATCGCCCATGGCGACTAGGTTCGACTAGACGACTTGTAAACATTGGTTACCGGTGCCTCAATATCGCTTCGCGGCGAGTCATCATCTCCCGACATGTCATGTTTGATGAGTCGGTGTTTCTGTTCGCCGCCACCCCATTTGGTGCGTATTCACTTGCCACACATCTTCTGCTGCTTCGGTTGCTCCACCTTCAGGTGTTGAGCAGCCACCCTCCTCTTCATTCGCTCCCTCACCGCCACCTGAGATTGAGCAGCTGTTGCTCAACGACCCGGCCATCATCATGGCCGGAGTCCGTTGGACATCTCACCCTAGCTGCTGGCCACCAAGGTTCTTAAGGCGGTAAGGCAAGGCACGGCGAGCCACCCCCTTCAGATGCCTAGGCCTTTAAGGCGCGAGGCGAGGCAACGCCACACAAACATCTTAATGTATATAATGCGACTAGAACTTGGAAGCAAACTATACCTTAATGGTTGGAATTTAGAAGCAAATCACACCTTAATAGTTGGCTGCAGAGCAGAGAAGAGCCAAGCAGGCAAGCAAAAGCAGTCAACCACATAGCAATCTAGCACAAGCATCCACCAAGCCACAACAATTTATATACAACTAGTAGCAGAAAGCACAGGGAGGAGCACATTTATCCAGGTCCTAACAATCTAGCACGAGCACAGGAAGCAGAGCAGATGAAGCACGGGAGGAAGAGCAGAGAAAGGAGGGGACTAGGGGAGAAAAGGACGTACTTGCAGGATGATGGAGGCACGACCACACGAATCGATGGAGGGCGGGAGGCTATGGAGAAGTCTAGAACGCGGAGCAGAAGGGGTCGCGAATGGGGCAGAAGTCGGGGTCACGGATGCGGCTGGGGTCACGACGTCACGGATGTAGCAGAAGTCACGGATGCGGCGGAAGTTGTGACCGGAAGCGAACACGGCAAGCGGCGGGATGGAGGTAGGCGCCGCCACCGCCAGATTCCAGGTGGACCTCCACCCTCTTCTCTTTCCCTCTCTCCTTGCGTTGTAGGCGCCAGACGGCTCTTTCCCCCGCGCGCGCGGCAATCTTCTCCCCACGTGCGCACTTTCCCTCCCGTGCGCGCAATCCCTGCCTTTCCCTCCCACGCGCGCGTGATTTCCCTCCTGTGCTCCCGCATGCACGCCTGGAGCAAGTCAACGCCTTGGTGACGACTTGGCATGCGTGGCGACGCCATACGCAAGAAAGTCACAGCGAGCCTGATGCCACAATTCAAAAAATGCCTGGACGCCAGGGCGTCGCCTAGGTGATGCCTTAATAACCTTGTGGCGCTTCGTCATCGTCTATCAACGCCGCCCGCCGAAGCCGGCGCGGTCAGCGCCACCTGCTGCTGTGGACAACCACAGTTTCGGCAATGTGTACCAGCATCGCCCGTCCTAGCCGTCTTCCCCAGAGTCGCCTGCCCCAGCCATCTTTCCCAACAGCCATGGCCGGAGCCGGCCCTTCTTCAGCCACAGCTCCATCGCTTGCTAGGTGCTGCCTAGCACTGCCCCTGCTGCCGCCGCTCCACCGACCGCCGGAGACGTCATTCCTGCCGTGGTGCCAATGCTGTATCCCGCGGCACCAGGTGGCCGGCAGTTCCGTTCAGCCGGCTGCATGTCTCCACTGCTCCAAGTTGTACTTTGACTGTATATATGAAAGTTAACCTTCCACCCACCCACCCACCCCCACCCCCTTCCCCGCGCGTATATTGGGTGTGAGGTGTTATCTAATTCTCTAAATTTACAGTGCAAATTTGTATTAAATTTAATTTTGAAGCAGAGTGGCAACAAAAGTGTAGTCTTGCAAGAAATAGTACTTAGTACAAGTGTATTTTTCTCAAACTGCTTCTCGAACGCATAGTTTTGTGACACAAAATGCCACTAAAATGTAGTTTTACAAAACTGATGCTTGGAAATGTTAATACGTGAAATGTCATTCTTCAAGATGTATATTCCATAAGAAAAATAGTACCTTTATCAAACGGTTCTTGTGGTATACATTAAATCCTTGAACGTCGATGTGATGTTTTGCATCTTTTACAAACCCAATTGTTACATCAGCTACCATCTGCACCAAAGAAGATCACTAATGAGTTGCAAAAACATCTTAGGATTAAGAATCGGTTTTGGGTCATAGTTGTTTACATTTGAATCCTTTGGATGTCCATTAGGTGCCACAGGCCTGTATGTGACCCCTTTCTTCAGCATCATGTCAGTCACAATATTATGGTGTTCAATCTCTTTTCCACGCAAAATCATTTGGAAGTAAGTCGGAAGTCGCAAATACAAAATTGATGCATAACTCTGCAAAATTTTTAAAAGTCATTCTCAGGATTCAGGAAACACAGCTAAATGGAACACCTATTAGGACTGACAAGCTAACATTATTTTGAATAACATGACGATAAATTATGATTTGTCAACCAAGGAAAATGCAAAGCACGAAAGAAGTTCTGCATTGTACGCATGCACATAAACCAGCTTTAAGTACTGTAAAATCATGCTACTGTAAACACAATAATATTCTAGATAAAACTGCATTAAATCTGTTTCAACCAAGAGCCAAGAGGTGCTGCTTCTAAGCTGTTATGTGGATAAAGCAATCTGCAATACTAAGGATTTTTTGTGTTGTGTGAGGACTGAGTTCTATTTAAGTATGCAAACGATTAAAATTGATCAAATGCAGCCATCTATTCAAAGTTGTTGGACACACAAGAACCATAATATTCATTTGATTTGATTATGCTCCAGAGTCCAGGAGCATGAATGTGAAACAGATCGCAAAAGGAGGTAAGAAAAGGAAAAAGGGGGCCAAAAGACTCAAACTAAATGTTAACTTGTTAAGCGAGCGAGAGGAGGGGGAGCAAGAGGTTTAACATTGGAAGCAAACTGCAAGTCTTCCAAGAACCCCAGGCACCACCGCAGTCCGCACCACCACTTGCTCCACCTGTCCTCACTGCTCTAATACCCCTGCTTCCTACACTCCTCAAAACCTCCCTTCTGCAGTAAAGACTCATGCCGTCATCCTTGTGCTCAACTCATCTTCCTCCACATTCAAAACTGTGTATACCCTTCCCTCATAACATGTGCATGCATATGCATTACTTTTCAGCTCTGCTTTTTATTTGCTTTCTGTTACTGATGCATGCATATGGTGCTACAGTGTAATGCCAATGATAGTTAACTATTGCAGTGTAGTGTGTACTATTGTGCTAATACTACAATATTAAGGTACCCATCGGTGAAACAAACAGATGGCTAGTTTAGCACCTTTGTGTTAGTAGTGCAGCAGCCAGCAGCTATAGGATGAGCAGAGGTGAATAGAGTAGATGGAGTTTAGATCACAGGTTCTGTTTTGAAGCAAACTGGCTTCGCCTTTCATTGCATATAGTCATACATATTTATTTATAGACATGTGAAGTCGGTTTGTAAACCAACCTTACTACTGTACTGCTCTTGTCCCAGCTACTAGCGAAAGGGCACCTAGCCTAGTGGTTAGGACGTCTGAGTAGCATGCCTCAGGTCCTGGGTTCGACTCCCCGTGGGAGCGAATTTCAGCCAGAGGTAAAAAAAATCCCCTCGTCCGCTCCATAAACCATAGAAGCACAAGTCTAAGGCCCAGCCCAATTCTCACTTGGGCAACGGATTCCGCTGTGTAAGGGTGGGGCCGGGGGTTTTCTCGGCCTGGTGAGAAGGTCTTCTTCTTATTGGAATGCTGTGGGGGCAGTCATACCCCCTCAGGTCGAGGTTTTTTTTTTTTGTCCCAGCTACTAGTAAAAACAGATTTGAATACTACTGGGTAGTAGTCTGACATATCCCCCTATTGCTGCTGTAAGCAAAGTCTAAATTGACTTCTACTGCAGACTGTCAGAGACAGCTGCACTACTCTTAGTGCCTACAGGAGTAAGTAAAAGAACATATGTTGGCAGCTAACAAAAGACTACTGTTGGTACTATCTAGATAAGCAGTAGACTACTGTTGAGTGAGTGCGTGTGTGTGTGTGTTGCGTGTGTGTGGTGTTTGTGGGGTTGTTTGGGCTCTTGCCCTTTTCTCTTCTTAATATAATAAGGCGCAGCTCTCCTGCGTTTTCGAGAAAGAAAAAAAAAACTTTGTATGCCGTGGTACTAAGTGCTGATATAATTTGCTGCCATGCCAGGTTGACATGTTCTAGCCTCAACACGACACATGCCCCTTATGCGCTTGGGCTGTGTGGTGGTGGTGAGGTACCACACGGAACACAATGCTTTGTTACCATAGTGAACGAATGCATCAATAAACTCGGTAAATCAATGTTACAAGAAAATGTCATGCACAGGATCCTATATCTTCTAATTTAGAAGCAAGAAATTGTTGATAGAGCCACCAAGTCTTCCCAATTAGTATATACCTTCTCACAATTTGCGCACAGCAGAAACATAAGGTAATTTATAATACTCCAGAGATTGAGCTTAATACCCACTGATCTAACTTCCTAGGGATGCAAGCAGGCCTGTCCATGAGCCTGCAAATTGCTTAATACCCACTGATCTAACTTCCTAGGGATGCAAGCAGGCCCGTCCATGAGCCTGCAAATTTGCAGGCTGGCGGACAGGCCTGCTTGAATCTGGAAACATCGGAATGATTGTGTCTTTAATGGTGCAAGTCTGAGAGTCACGGCTGTACTGCAAGCTGTCACCAATGAATGCAATGTGTGGTGCTCCGCTGGAACAAATGCGCTCCAGGAGCTGTTGGTCAGGCCTGGTCAGCAATACTTCTAGTCTTGGTAGCTTGTTGGTCACTTGCTGTTGAAAAGGGCAATTTGTTTCTACTATTCTCCTGGTTGTAGTGTGGCTGTGTGTTAGTGTGAGTTTTGCGTGTGTTTAAGGGGGACTTTGTCCCTCTCGTGTACTCTCTTCTTCATTAATGAAATGACACGCAACTCTTGTGCATGTTTGCAAAAAAAAGAAAAAGAAATAAGTTTTATTTAGTCAGAAACTGAACTATGCCAAGTCACTGCTAAAATTATAAAAGGCAGGATGTACTAAAGAACAATTTTGTATTAAAAAAGAATCTACATAAATAATTTGAACTGCAAACACTGAGCATGTTTGGATGCACAGCAAGTTTTGCCTGGCCTCGTCTAGCCAGGCAAGGCTAACCTTGGCCATTGAGGAGGGCTAATTCGGCTCTCCCAGCCAGCAAGAAAAAACTCGCTTGCAAAGAAATCGAGGCAACAGGCAAGAAAACCAAACGCGTTTTTCTCTCCAGTTTCTCGCTGGGCGAGGCGAGGCGTGCTTCTTCAGCTGAACCAAACGCGCCTACTGTTTAGTGACTAATAGCAAAAAAGGCGCTTAGGTTATAACTACAAGTATAAAGGGCAGCCCCAGTGCACGTAGCTCCCGCTTGCGCAGGATCTGGGGAAGGGTCTGACCACTTGGATCTTTTATAACTACAAGTATAACGCAATAAAAAAAGGGACCAATTATATACATTACATCATCAATTTACTACCAACTAGAGTATGCATACATCAAACTTACTCTCAATGAATGCCTATATGTGAGGTAATGCTTGGAGTTTGGGAACTGCTTTGCCATCTGGATATTTTTCTCATCGCGGTTACCACCTCTGAGTTGAATATCCTGCCATGTTAGACATCAATAGAAATCATAGTGAGCAGTTTAACTAAAACGATGGTATAGCCTACAGTCCTTGGTCACGGGAACTTACATGTACTTCAGCATCAAAATCAAGCTCCAAGTCCCCTTGGTCATCCTCCCAAAGATTGTAAATAATAATTCGTGTCCCTCGATCTTTCATAGAACTAAACTGCAAAAGCCCACATGGAATGCTATAATCTAGTGCATTCTAAAAGTAAAATAAGATGCATCTAATTGTGTTCAAACAAAAAAAAATAAGATGCATGCAATTAAAAATTACAAGTTGAAAATTTGAGACATTGTAGCATTTTAGAAATCAGATGAACAGTTTTCCATATAGTTTACCTCTTTTCCACAATATATTTTGGTTTTCCAAGTGAATCATGAAACTACAGCACAATATGGTCATTTGTAACAAGAATAAATAAAAGGACACATCCAATGAAGCAAAGCATGCTCTAAAAGGATTGAAAATAAAATTCAAGGAAAAATTGTAGATACCATGTAGATATCACTTAAAGATGTAAATACCCTTGTGTTTCCTGCACTTGCCACTTGACAACTCAACACCAATTCGAAACCTCACCTAAGGCCTTGTTTGGATGCACATGTGTTCACCTCAATCCACATGAGTGGATTGGAGTGGAAATTAGTTTAAGTTCCACTTGAATCCACTCCAACATATGTGGATTGAGCCATTGAGGTGAATACATGGGCATCCAAACAAGCCCTAAAGGTAGATCTCACTTCCAGTACTCCACATATGATGTCAGGAATCAGGATGCCAACATGGAAAGAAGGGGATGATGTAACTAAGTACAAGAGCCCACTGTATCAGATGTGTCAATTCAGTTCCCTCCATGAACAACAAGCCACAAGTCTTGTGATCTTAGTTCATATAACCCTCAACCCCTCCCCTACCTTCCACACTGGCATCTTAAATTAGAACCTACGGCCATATCACAGCTGATATGCTGACACAGCATCTCCCAAGCATCATCACAGGGATTTTGCACCAAAGTTTAGCTTTAGTAGGCTTAGCAACTCCAAGTTGCAGTGACTTACAGGGAGAGGGTATTTGCATTTTCTAAATAAAATTTCACAGCCTATGCCTATCATGAATACACTACTTTTTACTTGCAGCAAGCGCATTAATACCTTCCTACATGGTTCTTACAGCAGTAAGACAGTAAAGCATACATGGAGACTCCAGTACAGGCAACAAGGCTTAGACCCATGTGGCAAGATACAACTTGTCACCAAGGAATGCCTTAAGAACCTTGGTTTTCTGCAATAATTTTCCTGTTACCATGTATTGTGACAACTAGTCCTAAGTATCATTGCTCAACAAGCAATCACTTTAGTGCTTTACCAACAAAGTTAGACATGTTCTTACTCTCAAAAGCAAGCACCATGAAAAGGAGAAGCCTTGAGAACTGCACAGTACAATCATACATGGCATCAACTATACCTGTTCAAGTAATTCTGCTTCAGTTGAATATGGAGACCATGTAATGATGGTTTGCAAGCTTGTGCTCCAATCATCTAATGTAGTCCGGGCCATTCTTTCCCAACCTTGTTTATATTCATAATCAATCTGCAGAATAAGTGATAAAATCACAATGTCAGATTGTACCAGTCTATTCAAAGATCAAGAAGTTGATTGTGTGCCTCAAAATAAAAGGACTGCCAGACAACTTATAGACACAACACACAAAATGTCCAGCAAATTATTCTTCATAGAAAATAATAGTCAAACAACAGACTCAAGTATGTCAAAACTATACAAAATGTTCAGAAGACAATACAGTGATTGTTAAGAATGAATGGTATTCAAATAATTTAAGATATAAGAAAATCACGAAGGAATAGATGTTACCATTGGAACAATGATGTCCTCTTTGCCAGTGCTCCTAAGAAACGTATAAGATAGCATGCCAATGCTTTGAGTAGGCCTTCGTGCCAACCAAAAAGTATTTATAAGTGAAAAGGTGTCAGTTTGCTGACAAGTTACTCAAAATGGATTGAGGTAAAAAACGACAAGTCATAACACATATACAAATTACTACAACCATTCCTCCCTTTGTGTCATCCCTGACTCAATATCTATTGCCACTGCTTCTCATCATCTGTCAGTAAGACTAAGCTACTGATGCTATTTTCATGAAGCCAATCTAAAGTAGCTTCTATTTGTATGAGTTATGTTGGGAAGACTAAGCTTCTATTTGTAGGAGTACATAAAAACAGCCCTAGTGGCTTTCTTACAGCCTAAGTAAAGACCTTGACTTACAGCCTAAGGGCTTGTTTGGATGCCCATGTAAACCACTCCAACACACACGAACTGAGGTGGATACATGGGCATCCAAACAAGGCCTAAGATGTGACTGCCAAGAAAAGCTTATTGACCAAGCTAGGGAACTTGCTGACCTAGGGTCAACAGACCAGACCTAATATGACCCTATTAGCTAAACAGGAGATTGACACTTATCTATCACCTATGACAAGGACAGATATGAGAGCAGCAGGCTATTCAACAAGCAGCTTCACCAGGGAAACTGAAGCTGTTTTCAAAAACGTTTGGTAAAACAGCTTCTCAAGGAACATGGAAGAGAGAGAGCGAGAGCTAGGAGAAGCTAGTATTTTTAGCTTCACCTAGGTTCCCATGTGCATGTGAGAGGAGCTGAAAAACAGCTTCTAGGGAAAGGCTGTTTCAAAATATCTGTTTGGTAGGAGAAGCTGAAAAACAGCTTTGTACGCTGACCCTAAATCTTGAACAGACATCCAAACTGAACACATATTTCTGTGCTATCAAGATCATATAAAAGCATCCATAAAAAAGTTCACGTAAACCAAACAAACTTCTGTCTCCTGTTGTCTAAAAGCATATTATGGTTTCAAATCCTAGACAATAATCAAGATAACAGGCATCTTCAAGAATATTTATTGTTACATTGTAAGTTAAGATAATAAAACGGGGCCACAACCTTTTGCCTGATTTCCCACGACTACGGGAGAAGACCAAAACATCAGCACCAAGCCTCATTGTACTCGTCTTGAAACCATTACCATCTGCAAGGCAAAAAAATTAAGGACATTGAATGCATCAAACTTTGACAAAAATATTTTATGGGCTAAGACAATTTATTCTTCAAAACTCACATTGTCCAATAGTACTAGCAACTTTGCTCTTAACTGAATAACCCAAGGACATGCATTGCCGCATTTTATCAGGGTCCATTCCACCACCATCATCTGTGGGCAATTAACAAGAAAAGGAATCAGCTATAACATGATTACCTGAATGCCAGCAGTGGCTCCAGAGGTCCACCCACATCATCTGACAGATGTATCACAGATTTCCTACGTTGCCAAGTTGTATATTGCATACATACAGGATCAAAAATAGCACTAAGCCGATTGTTATTTAGAATGAGTTCATTCAAGAAGATGCCTATTACAGTGCTCTCTGGACCACGACTGAGAATTCCCTGAGGAGAGAGCAGGAGGTGTGGGAGGCACTGGCCACATCTGAAAAGTACCAGTCCACGGATTGTAGGTGGGGAAGCTGAGGTCTGTGAGTGCTTGCGGATGAGAAGCATTGCTCTTGGAGTCCCAAGACTTATTGCGCAGCTTGTTTTTCTTGCACCAGGAACTTCCAGGAGTCGAGTTCCCAGTGGTTGAGCTGGAGGGAGGGGTGATGGACTTGCTGCCAGAGGGAGGCGAGGAGACCAGTGGTCGATGAAGGCTTCCTGCTGCGAAGATCAGCCTCATCCTCAAGAGCCAGGAGGGAGCAAACCTGGAGGAAGGATGGCAGCGCGAACTGCGTCTTAATGATAACCGCCATGGAATGCAAGCTGGGGTTCAGGCCCCGAAGCAGCTGCATGGGCGGAGCTTGGTTGAGACCAAGCTGGGCCATGGCCCCTGCTGCCAATTATGTTTTTTCACTGGCTAAACATTAACTTTGGTACTGTTCATGGGTGGTTAATGCCTAATTATTATATAGACTGGCCCCTCCTATATCCTTGATCAAGCTCCACCACTAAGCAGCTGCAACACCAGAGTGTCAGGGGAGCTTTGTTGGCCAATAACAGAGAGTTGGCCAGAGTATTCAGGCGTTGCGAGTACTGGAACACCATCTGGTCACCTTGTTCTGTGGTCCAGAACTCCGCCTCAAGCACAAGGGCACATGAAGCTTTGTTGTCATAGAAGAGTCCCTCGACAGCAGTCCAGATGGCATGTGCCGTGGCATCCTGCATGAGGACACTGCTGAGGATCTCCTCTGAAACTGAGTAGTAGATGAGAGAGTGCATGGCATATCAGTTGCCCTCCAAGCAGGTGTAGGAGGCTCCGGTGCTGCTGTGCCATCAACATGATGCATGGCACTGAATTTGCCCACAAGAGTGGAAAGGCCCATGCCATCTGCTGTTATTGCGTGAGTTGAGCTCTAGAATAAAAGGGATATGAGAGCGGACGTTGATGGCTGCTAGAGCAGCAGCAATATTAGCTGGCTGTGGATGGGGAAGAGCAGCAGCAATGAATGCATCTAGTGTGGCAGCAGAATCTGCTTGTGGCTGCTCACCCATGGTGAGAAAGAGAGGAGCAGGAAGAGAGAAAATGAGGAGAAAGGCAGGATGTGTATAAAGGCTGATACCATGAAAGCTAATAGAATAGAATGAGCATAATCATTTCTCCGTTTATATATGGCTTTATTTACACAAAAGTGAGTGTACATGTAAGGAAAAGAATTAAAATGCTCTAATGTCATCTAATCTAGCCTAATCCATACAGGATGTACAATGCAGATATGATCTGAATTTAGGGCCAATAATGGCCAAGATATGAGGGCTAGTAAGGGCTAGGATATTGCCATTCTAACAGTATGGAAAAATTATAATGGCATCTCATGTACACTTCTAACACATGAAAATGACATCGTATAAAATATTGTATAGCCAACTCCACTCAACATTTCAAATCAATACAACAGGACAAGTCAAGGCATTTGCCAAAGTCAAATGACTGTTTCTTTGTATTTGATACTAAATAACTGATAGTAGGATCTACCATCTCCAGCTTGGAGGATTTTGCAGATTCACTTAAGCACACATATGCATGTCCAACAGAGGATCCTTTACCCAGGATGAAATCATCAACACAATGATATTCAAGTGGCCTTGTGATGATTGGTTGTTTAGATCCATTGCAATACCTGCACCCTACTAATAGGAACTAAAACAAAAGTCAAATAACGTTCGTACAGTCTGATGCAATAAAAAAGGGCGGAGAACTCCCGCTCTGTGCGGGGTCTGGGAAAGGGTGTCAGTGGCAAGCCTTACCCTTGCCTGTGCAATGCGAGGAGACCGCGACTCGAACCCGGAACCTTCCGGTCACAGGCGGTAAAACTCTACCGCTTGCACCAGGCCATTATAAATGAGCGCTTATCTCAGCATATAATATGACTCTTGTTAGGAGGTAGGTTTTGGGAAATTGCATAGTCCATATAAGATGATTCTTGTTAGGAGGTACGATGTAGGTTACAGAACTTCAAGAACAAAATTTTTGCTGCAACGAATTTAATTTTGAAGCTAAATTCAATGTTCTCAAGTACACGTTATGGCATGCATCAAGTGATGACCTCAAAGTCATGGAACATAAAGTTAGAAATTGCAATATCAGTATATCACCATAAATCTTTCGGGCCCACAATCTGTCTTCCCATGGACAACATTTGATATAGTTCGATGAAACCATTGACGGTCTAACTGTGTATTTGTTGGTGGAGCACAGGACCTTGCAGTATGTAAATAGATCAGTCACGTGGTGACGCATGTGGGTTTGAGGCTGTTGCCGATCGGACATTGGTGCACTGTTGGTGTTGTGCATGCAGCAAAGCTCCAGTCAACAAAGTGCCGGTAGATGAGCACATATGCCACACGATTGGCGAGGGAAAAAGGAAACCATGGTGATGATGAGAGAATTGCCGACATGCAACAAAACTGGGGGTTGCCAACTGGGACGCGGCGACAACAATGTCAGATGAGCCAAGAAGGAGATGCAGTAGTAGAATTGGAGTTCAAAGAACAATCTGCATCTGGTATGGTGGTGGCTTCTGCTCAATGGCTGCACAATGCAAGATCAATAACTGTCGCCGTGCATTTGCTATGCGGGAAGCGGACAATTTCTTGTGCCCTGTAGTTCTAGATTGGACCATTGGAGACAATCAAGAGGTGTGGGAGGTCATTATGACATGATGCAAATTAAAGGCAACTTGCATGCACATGTTGGAAGATGAAATGAAAAGCTGCACAAACAGGGGGCAGAATGCGTGCATGCTGAAAGATGAAATGAAAAGTTGCACGAAGGGGCCACATGGCTTCAGTCAGGGTTATTAGTATGTTATATTATTGCTTAGTAATTATAATGGCAAGATTAATTTTGATAAATGCTAATATGTTGATTAGTGCATTTTAATAATAGTGGTGCTAATTAACATATTTTATTTGTAATTAGAGATTACCATGACAAAATTAGTATTAGTGCATATTTATTATTGTATAATTAGTTGTTACTTTTAAATAATGTAAGTACAGTTATTCAAGTATTCTCATCTCATCCACTCTCATCCATCTAACCAAACAGAAAAAGGCTCGTCCCATCCATCCAACCAAAGATATCCATATCCCGAAACCCATGGATGACCATATCGCATCCACCTTTGTCCTCAAACCAAACAGACCCTAACAGTTTGGATGGAGATGGCAACTTAAGATCGAACATCCAAAACCATGATGATGATGTGGCGCAACATGGAAGAGAAATAACATTAGTGGGGGTTTGCTTCATAAGAGACATTATAGATTCAGTTCTAGCCTCAATAGGAATTAGAAGAGGTATACTCATTGCTAAAGGAAAACTTTGTTACTTCTTAGTCAGATCAAGCAAACAAAAATAATCATATCAGCTGACATAATGTAAACAATGCAAAGTATGAGGAAGTTATGCACCTTCAACAAGAAGCATTCTGGACTTCTCTTTATCGATGTCTTTGTCATTCTCTAACACATCTATGTTCACATAGGTAGCTCCATTTATAACCTTCAAAACAATACATACTACTAAATAAGCATGCAAGGATTCTTTTTAAAAAGAAGGAATGATTAATATTTCCATTTAAGCTTACTTCATCAAGAGAATTGTCCAGCAGCTCAGCCAAAGCTGTAATATCATAGCATAGGTTAGCCAAATAATATGACTAGTTTACCACAGAATTCAGTAACACATTGCTGAGTGGTGTGTCAGAACTCTGATTCAGCATGTTACATAAAAAGATAGGAATTAAGGCAAAATGAAGAGGAAGACCATACCACCTAGGGCCCACTTGTGACTTGTTGCGTTTGAGTGCAGAAATCTAGGGTGCACACGAACATGATCCATTCCAGAGACTGAAATGAGAAACAGGAGAGAACAAAGAAAAATACTCAAAGTAAAAAACTAGAAACATCACAGATACAAACACAGGCGACAACATACACCACGATAACACTAGTACTACTACCTCCGTTCCATTTTATCTGGCGCACACGCATATCAAGATTCAAACTTTAAAAACTTTGACCAATAATTAGGCTAATAATTTTTAACTATTATGATACAAACTTTAAATGATTAGATTTGTAAAGAATTATACTATCCAATGATTATAAGTTTATAAGCATAAGTAATATAATATAAAGCAAATGAATGGTCAAAGTGTAATTTAGGAGACCGTATCATTCTAACTTGCGCCAAATCAAAAGAAATGGAGGGAGTAGTAATTTAAATCCCTCCATTCCAAATATAGTTCACTTTACCTTTGTCTAAGTTAAACTTCTCTAATTTTGATGACCAAGTTTTAGGAAAAATATATTAACATCTACAAGTTCAGATAAATGCCCTATCAAGTATCAAAATATATTACATGGAGAATTTAGTGAAACTAGTTTGATATTGTAAATGTTTATGCATTTTTCTAAAAAGGTAGTCGATGTTAGAGACAAAGCCAGATGAACTATAATTTGGATCAGAGAGAGTATTGCATTTCATTTCAGCATGGAAATTCAATATTAGAAAAATGGGTAGCCACAAGAACCATCATTCTACACTTTGCATGTCCAGCGTTATGATTTGTAATAAATCCATGGACAAGCTTTTACAAACAAGGACCTGTTTATTTCCCCTTCAATGTTTTTTTCATAAGCCAAATAAGAAAGCAATAACGGGTGCAAAAAAATTGACCACAATAGATTGCATAAGTTTCCGAATTAATGAACTAAACCGCCCTCGAATTCTTCAATAGGAAAACTGTTAATGAAACAAAAGGAGAATGCAGAAGGGTTTTAGTATCAGAATAGTACCTGACGGCTGAGCCACCCCATCACCGAGCGGCTTTCCGTCGTAGTCCCCGGCCTTCCAGAACTGCTTCGTCGCACAAGCTGCCAATGGCACCGGCAGCGGCGGCGGCGGGATTGGCTCGAGGAAACCAGGGGGCAGGTCAACGACCGCTGAAACCCTAGCCCGCTTCGTCGCGGAGCCGTCTCCTCCAGCGCCCCTCGCCCTCTTACCGCTTCCGACCGCACCCTCTCCGTCGGAATCGGAGTCGCTGCTATTGAGGTCGATCACCGCCGTGGCGGTCCTCCCGCCGCTACCCCCGACCGCTACCGGCGGCGGCGGCGGCAGCGGCGTCCGGGACAGGGGCCCCCGCTCCTCCGCCGCCTCGGTTTTCACCATTGATGTTCTCATCAAAAGGCTCGAGGGATCTGATCTATACCAGTGTTTGGTAGAGCTTTACCTCAAAACGTAGGCCTTGTTTAGATTGCAAATTGTAATCTAAACATCGTAGCGTGTTTCGTTTGTATTTGACAAACTTTGTTCGATCATAGGTTAACTAGGCTTAAAAGATTCATCTCGTGATTTACAATCAAACTGTGTAATTAGTTTTTTTTACCTACATTTAATGCTCCATACATACGTCCAAAAATTGATGTGATGAAGAGAGAGTGAAAAAACTTAAAATTTTGACGCAATCTAAACAAGGTCGTAGATATTGATCCAATTTTTCTATTTAAACATGTGCCATTTTAATAGCTCGACCGGCTCTAGATCCACTAAATTTAGATTCAGATTAAAAAAAATTACCAAATATATCCAGTTGCACCTACTTCACTGGTAGATTTGCTCCATCAAATTGATGGATCTGCCTCGGATTCACCAAATTTGTGGATCTCCTTAAGGGGTGCTCCACTAGATCCAACTTTAGTAGAGTTGGGAGAAATTACGCATGACTGCCACTGGTTACACAAAAAATAACAATTCAATTTGTTCTGTTTTGCATCTTCATCGTCGCGAGTCCCCTTCCCCTCCATATCCCCGCGCCTGTCGTCACGCTCACTGTCGCATCTCACCGAAGCCTCGCCCGTGTCTGTCGCGCTCACCGGAGCCCCACCCATGACTGTCACGCTTGCCGGAGACCCACCCGCGGGGCTCGTAACCTTCGCCGACCTCACTGCACCCGCCCGTGAGCTCTCTAGGCCGTCACGCAAGAATCGCGAGCTCCCAAGGGCGTCGCGTGGGAGCTGCGGCCCTAGCCGGCCGCTAGCTCCAGCGAGGCCGCGCGCCCAGCCCCGACGTGCCGCACTTGCCCTGATCATGCCTGCGAGCTCCCCCGGGCGCGACATTGCTAAGTAATGGAGACGGGGTTCTCGATCTTATGTCAGGTTCAAGGCTGTAACACCCCAGGTGTTTGTCACCAGTTAAGCAATGGGTTTCAGCTCAAACATCACATGCTAAGTGGTGTTGAAGTTGAAAGATCAAATCTATAAGAGTGAGCTCCAACTTAAACTTGGGCAACACACCCTACTTCATGTGGACCCTTGTTAAGATTATGCAAGAGTAATGTTAAACATGCTTATTTCATGTACATTACATCAACGTGCATCCACCTTGACTATTGGAAAAGTTTTATGAAATTCGAAATCAAGAAGTCACATGAAATGATAAGTTATAATCTCTCTTGGATTGCTTTATTAAGTGAATGGAATTATAGGTCATCAACCAAATCTTGCTACCTTACCCAAATAACTCTAATTGAACTCTACAACAAAACTCATGAAGGATTCATGTTGAGCAAAGGTCAAGAAAATGCCTCAATCGATCAAAAACTCTGATTTAAGCTTTACCGTAATGCTATTTTGATCTATGTTGACCAATCACTTAGAGTGCTTGCATGGAGTTGCACCTTAAATAAAAGTTGAAGTTTGAGTGGAGTAGAACAAACTTTGTTTTTGGACCAAGAGCTAGATCAGCTTTTAAGAAAGTCAAACCGAGGCTCAAACTTTGAATCAACAGCTGTTTTCAGTACTTAAAATTTTTCTAAGTCTGGAATTCATTGTCATCGACATTGGCATCTCGTGTTCTCGTGATTTTGTAAAGCAATGTGATCGGGTCCCAAAATAAAAGTTGGAGTATACATTGTGGAGAAGAGTGCAAAAAGATGGCACTCGTTTGACCTTGTTTTGACCAACAATTTTGAAGTTTGTTAATCGACGTCAATGCGTTGACAATGCCATCTTAGAGCTTAATTACCCGGGGATACAGAACTCAAATAACCATGGCGCTTTAAGTAATGTTGTAGTGTAGTCTGAGAGTAACAAATTTGCTTCAAGCACCCAGGGACGAATATGCTCCGAAGATGCCGAAATCTGGACTGAAAATCGGCCTCGTTCGCGCACGCCACCTGTTCAGCAGAATGCTCGCGTGGCGACCATGCAGCAGAGCATGACCCACCATTGCTGCCGCGTGTCCCACCTCCGTGCCACGTGCCCCTGCCTTCCCCTCGCATCAATACGGTGGCAAACACTCCCTCATCACTCACGCTGAGCTTCCCCCTCTCCCTCCCTCGCTCTCTAGCGTCATGCGCGCGCTCCTGGACGCGGTCGCCATGGACGCCTCCGCCGAGCTCCGCGGACACCGCTCCACTCGTCCTTCGAGCTCCCTCTGCCTCTCCTATGCACCGCGGTGCCTTCGCCGTCGTGCGCCGCTCCTCCTCGCCTATGGCAGCCTACTGCTGCTGCCCTAGGGCCGCCGTCGACGCGTTGTACCTGCCGCGTCCGCTCTCTCGCAGGTGGCCAAGCCACCTAGGGCCGCCTCGGGCCAAGCCGAGCGGTCCCCTGGATGCTCGTGGGCCCACTGTTGCTCGCGCTGCTCTTCTCCGTCGCCATCGACCCTCCTCCGGTCGGGTTTCGACCTCCCCGTCGGCCATCCCCTACTCTCTGTTGTAGGAAGAAGACGAAGGACAGCGGGCTTGAATAAGGGAAAAGGAAGGGGGTTAAGTGAAGAAGCCGTGACTTAGAGGAATAGTGCCGAAAAGGATATGTTTGTTCGAGTTTAATTTATGGAAACTATAGGGTCCCCGATGCAAGATTTACATTTCTTTTCTTTGATTTATGCGGATTTGAATGATCAACATTGAAAATTCGTAGTAATTAGTAGAAAAATCGTAAAACAGTAAATGATGACTTTTTGGAATCCTTGTGAAATTATCTATGCAGTAGATCTATAATATGGCATATTTTAGTTTAAAGTTTTTGCTGTAAAAATCAATTTGTGCAGTTAGGTTCTTAATACTAGTTATGTCTTGTCTTTTTCATAAATGTTGTTGTTGTGCTCAAATAAATGTGAAATTTTTATGTAGTGCTAATAAGGTGATGGTTGTTGTCTGGTAAAAATTTTAGGAGTTTAGGCTTGATAGTTTAAGAGCTATCAAAATAACAAATACCCTATGTTGCTTTGCTCCTATTCTGAATAGGACTGCATGTTTGTATTAATTGGCTTAGTTAAGTTATGAATTATGACTTGATGACAATACATGAGTTTTATTAATTTGCTTAATATTTCCAAAAAGCTAAATAGCATAATTTTTGGTTAAGTAGATTTTTAGTTATAATTGCTTATATTTCTGTGGCAGTTTCTGCTCAAACCCAGATAGGGTTGCCTTGTTGGTAATATGTGGCCTTGTTAATAGCAGAATTAGCTCTAGGTATTTATAACAAAGTTGGTTAGAATTTTCTAAGATTTCTAAAAAGTATAGAACCATATTTTTTAATATGTGGAACTCTAGTTATAGCAGTTTAAAGTTGCATATCAGGTTCTGTCCATGTTTTGGACAGAGATGCATTTATTGGATTAATTGACCTTGTTAATTGTAGAATCATCTTAAGATGAGAATAAGAAAGTTGTAGGTAACTTCATTATATTTTCAAAAAGTTATGATTTATGTTTGTTGGAGGTCTAGAACTCCAGTTATGCTTCTATGAAATTCCTATCAGTTTTCTGTACCACTGCTGTGTGGACTACATGTGCAGTTTTGCTTGTGCAGTTATTTTCGTGGTGTAAATAATGTTTACTGTGGTTGTAGTAAATACCAAAGTTGTAGCTAATTTTATAATCTAGCTTATGTTAAATTTTCCTTTTTACTGATTAGGTGGATATCTCTACCAAACAAGTTTTACTCATATTTAGCAATTTTGTTTTCAAAAGGGTAAAGTTTTTACTAACTATTAACTTGTCATCTATTTCCTTTGGAAGCAAACATACAAGGCAAAGCTAATCACACACTATCTTCAAGCACAGCTATTCAAGCAGCATAAAACAAGACATTTTGTCTAGCTTCACACAGGGAAGATAGTAACATCACATGATCACAAGTTACTTAGTATTAAAACAAAATGATGGAAGCATATTTATGCACAAGCACAATCATGATGCATGACCATCCTATTCGTTCTCACAAAATTACCAGCCTAAGGTGGCAATCACGTTCTATGTCGGTGGTATAACACGTACTCTCTCAATATATAGCTAGTCGTTAGCTATATTCAATCTACGTATTCGTGGTTAGCGTACCTGTAGAAGGATTCATTTCAACACAACCCCACAATTATATATACAGAAATGAAAATCTGGTCTCTAGGTTGCAAGCTAAATACTTCTATATATATATATACACTTTCGTATCAAAGCTACCTGATCATTAAATTTGCTACCCACAATTAAATACGCACCATACACACATGCAAGCATGCGTATACAGTCGTATCAAAGCTAGCTCTCCCCGACCGCACGCTCACACTTGCGGTGATGCCACTCATCAACTTACCTTCTTACCTAGACGTAAAGGTATAGTGATCCATACATTACCATTCAAGCAAATGGCATCCATACAAATAGCACGTCATATGGACGACGAAAGTAAAAATTACAATAAAGTACATCCCCCATAGTTAGTACTTAGATAGCCACCTAATAGTCCTTAACTGGGTATAAAGGAGGATGTCGCTAGCATAGTTTTGCAAATAAGTTTTGATAATTTTTTCTGTAGCTAAAGTTTTAGCTAAAATAGGCTTTTTAAAACCAAAACTTTATTTTTAAAACTATGTACATGACAGTATTATGCTTAATCTTGCTCTGATACCAGCTGTGGCAGAACCACCCAATTTATACAAGATCAAGTATGGTTGTCCCCACTAACACGTTGACACGCGCATACTTTCACTTATATAAACCCGTTAGTCCGCTGAGTGTCACGAAGAACCTCGGTAAATCAACATCACAACCAAGATCGTGTGATTAAGCAAATACACATCACATACACAAAGTTGCAGCAGAAATAATATTACAAAGGAGTTCATAAATAATAGTACAAGTTTAGGTTTCAAAACCGACTAGTGAAA